ACAGTTGAAGTCCCATTTGTACATCGTCACGTGTAAAGGCTTGCTTGCAATGGCTCGCATCCATCCCCTAGCCGAAAGTTCTTAAAAGTGGAAAAGCAGAATGTCATTTCGGTCATGATTGTAACTGTAAAGCCCCGTTATTTTTTCGCAAGTGTCATCAAGCGGCATCATGCCACCTATTAAAACACACGCTTAGCTCAAACTTTTGCAGAGTTTGCCGCAGCATGGTGGTCCGGTGAGGTAATGTGTGCTTGCCTGGGTTCACGTCTTCAACCCTGGTGACCTGTTATGTGTGGAATCATGTTTTAATTGGTTGAGGTGCCCTGTACCAAGCATTGGGTGTTCCTCGATCAGCGTCCAAAGAAGCTATTCGCTTGGCGTGCGCCAATTTGTCAGAACCGAATGCCACATGCAAAGAGGTTGGCGAAACTGAGCATGGATCATGGCTGCAAAAAGGTGAGTGGCCATGTATGTCAATCAGAAAAATATTTGATGAACCCGACATATATGTAAGTTGACAGGGTTGCAACCAAAGAACGCTTGTGGCTGAAACAACAGTTTGTGCAGACGAAAACGTGCCGGGGTTGCGTCACAGGTACTTGCGATTAGCCAAAAAGCTGCACCCGGATGTTAACAAGGCGTTGGGCCTAGCTTGAAGTGTCATGGCTTGGATCGGGTGCTGGTTTCCCATGATGTATTTATTTGGTTCATCTTGTGAGCACAAGGCAGCTGGGGCAGACGAGAATTTCCAAAAGGTTCGGAATGCGTATGAAGCCGGAACCTGAGTCCAACCTTGCAGAAATCAGGGGCATTTTTTTGCACTGAATTTGGTGCAAGATACACATAGGCACGCATGAGTCATAAGCCACATAGCCCGAGAAGGACCCCAACAGTCTGGGAATCATATTGGGCGGGTATTTATCGTATAGCCCGAACATAAGGGGGGTATGTAATTGGATCCTACTGGCATCTAATTCAAATCGACCAGAAGTTGATTGAATCGAATAACAGCATATCCTGGTGCGTTCTGTTTAGGTCCTTTCTGACGAGAGCAAACGCCGCGAGTATGACCGTCAGATAGCTCCTCAACCAGATCTTGGGTCGAGTCTTGGCCGCTTAGGCAAGGGTAGTTGAACATGTATTTATTGGGCGGCAAACCCGTGCAACCTGCACAGAGCATATCCTGGTAATGGCACATCTGATGTCCAAGCACAGGCTGCCGAACATTTTTACACGTTGAGGCGCTCCGCAGACCCACGAGTCACGGTCACGTGGATGTATCGAGCGCGATCGGGACATTCAGGAGCAAGGGCAGTTGTTGGTTAAACACATACAAGGAGAGCCCCATGTTTCATGCCATCTTGTGTGGTACCTGCCAGCAAACGCACGAGGAGCAAGAGGAAAACCGTTTGACTTTGCCCAGGAGGCTCTGTGTCAGATGTTTGGAAGGCATTGTCTGGCATCCACTTGCAAGTGTCACCTTGTCCTCCAAACACCTTCACGACTGTGACGCTTTCATGGACGTTGGGTCCGGTTTGGCATGGTGTTTTAATTTGCTATCTGCTCGCTGGTCCACTAGTCAAGGCAATCCAGTGTGATTCCATTCTGATAGGCAGAAGTCTCATCTAAAAATCTGCAGGCAGCTGCATGGAAAGCCCGACAAGAGTACGAGGACATAGCATGAAATGGAATGTTTTGCCATTTTTCATTTGATGTTGCTGCAAAAGTGTATGGTCTGTCGTCTAGGATATGCGCAGGCGTGCGGAGGAAGCGCATTTTTACGCTGAGCGGCTTGCCAGCAGAGCTTTTGACACACCTGAGATTCCTTCATACGAGAGCATGCTAATGGTTAAGCCGCCGGCCGAGGTTCAATCAATATCGATACCGGCAAAGTAGCTCGCCAGTGTGAGGAGCAAGTTCATGAGTTATTGCCTTCCATAGTTTGTTTTTTTGGTTGCACATGCGGCACATCTCGAAAATCAAGCATTGACTCCCTTCTGGGTCAGGTTTGAATTTGGCTACTCAAAGATCAGTTTTCCTCTGTTCTCATCTACGATGCACATATGTGGGATGCGGATGCAAATAGGGTGAGATATAGCAATTGCTTGATGTTGGGGCTTGCAGTAAGTTCCTGGTGTGTATGCAGCAAAGCCAGACGCAACCAAGCCATTCTGTCATTCAGTAATGCCTCAGACAACAGCCTCACTCCGTTCACAGTGGTGACGCCCAGCGCAAGTTTTTGGTGTTCACGGTTTGCATGCCAATCATCAAGAGAGTATCTAAGCAGGCTTAGTCAGCAAACAACCTCCCAATGAAATCTTTCTTTGAGCCAGTAGAGCCAACAATAGAAGACGTGCAGATGACGTGTAGTGGTGATGCAAAGTTAAGGGTGCTGGTCCATGATTGCGCAAGGTGTTTGCCAAGACCAAAGATTCTCTGAATTCAAGCTGTCAACAACGTTGGATGAAGGTTTGTGAACTAAGTTATTGGCTGAGCTCTCGTCAGAATGTGCAGCACTACAGTTTTGACACATTGCATGAGGCCTTTTCGAATCCCTTCTCAGATTCGTTCCACTTCTGGTGCCGATATGGTTTGCAGTGACCTTACTGTTTTCAAAGCTTGTTGCATTCACCAGAGGACGTTGTAACACGACATCAGTCTTGCATACCATGACCAAATCTACTTAGGTTGTGATGCTCTATGGCCTGTACAGGAGAAGCCGGCCATTGGACCAGGGCAATCCAGCCACCGAGCTGCACAATGAAGAAGATTGTTTGGCTGAGAAGAGAAATCTGACAATATCCGTCAAATTTATGGCCTCGCCAGCTGAAGCAAGGGATTTTGCTGCGTCGAAGGGGCTTCTGCAGATTGTCGTCGTCGTCGTCGTCGTCGCCGTCGCCGTCGCCGCCGCCGTCGTCGTCGTCGTCGTTGTCGT